AAAAAACTAATGAATGAATTTAGAGTTATATATTTTTATTTAGGTAAATTTATATAAAATTAAAAAAATAATTTAATTATCTTTTTAAAAGTGGATATATATATATATATATATAAAAACTATGGATATAAATATCAGTACCCTATATTTTTTACAGTTTTGTTGTGTGTACTGAAAATTGTGCAAACAAAAAACTGTCAAGAACACACAAAAAAGGTGGGGCTCGCATTTTTTGCAAAATTTAATTTCACGTGGGGCTCACACCTCCATGTGAGTTTTCCGTTGAACTTCTGTGATGACTTTTTTGTACAAATGGAAACATCCTATTTTTTATTCAGCCGATTAAGTTTTTTTGGACTTGGATACTCGGAACAGACGAAATAGCCTAAGCTGTTTGTTGTTTGCATATTGTAAGTGACATGAATTACAAATGTACTAGAGTGATATCCCACCACCAAACAGGAAAAGTAATGCATATTATTTGAAAGATATAATTGCACTAATCAAGAAAGAGAACTGCTTTGAATGATTTGAAAGATAATGTAGCTGTGAAATCTGACCCCGTTTTGCACTCTACATTCAACATCATTGTTTATGTTATATTGGTTTATAATGCACCTGCAGCAGTGCATTCCCCTGTTGAAATCAGATTACTGACTGCAAGATTGATGCCACTAGATTTCCTTCTTTTGTTTTGTTGATATTTCGAGTTAGATTCTTGGTCAGCCCTCGAATGACATCATAGCGAGGCCAATAATTTCAATTCTTCAAAAGAAATCTCGTCTTTTTATTTGTTTGATGTGCACTAAAGAGATGTAGGGATGGGAACTATTGGATTGGCGGTGGCTGCATTTGTCCCAAACAGGGTCAGGGCAATGATGGTGCTGGAGGTTGCATACATGCACATGGTGGTGTTGGGGATGGGGGAGGTGAAGAGAAGATAGGTGGTGGGGGTGGAGGTGGCGAATTGTTATTATGCGGAGTTGGTGAAGGTGGAGCCGGTGAAATCAGGGGTGGAGGTGGAGAAGAGAGTAGTGGTGGGGGTGCCAAAGGTGGTGGGGCTGAGGAAGGAGGTGGTGGGGAAGTTATCTGAGGAGGAGGAGGAGGTGGAGGTGAAGCTGCTGACGGTGGTGAGGGAGGAGGAGGGGAATAAATCGGTGGTGGTGGAGATAATGAACATGGCGGTGGAAGGGTAGAACATTCAAAACTGCTACAATTAATCCTCCTAGACAAGAACCTCTGACACTGCAACATGGATTTTTGCTCTGGTCTCCCTCTAAAACAATTCCTCCTGTCATTGAATTCGGGCAGCTTCAAACAATCTGGAGCTTCGTCTGAGAAAAAATTGTACTCGTACCTGAAGTTCTTTAACTTTGGAAGTGAACACGTCACATTGGATATCTTCCCAGACAACATATTATGAGCCAAATTCAGCTGCTCCAAGTTTACCATATCCCCCATACTTTCAGGTAATGAACCCATAATTTGGTTATGGCTAAGATCCAACACAGTCAAGTTCTTCAACTTTCCAATTTCACTAGGAAAACATGAACTGATCCCATTATTTGTGAGAACCAATTCATTTAATCTTCCTGCCATATTCCCTAAACTTGCTGGCAGGCATCCTTGAAATTCATTGTTTGCCATAACAATCACAGACACTGTTGACTTGCCGATGTTGTCAGGCAATTCAGAAGAAAATCTATTGTTATTGATGAAAATTGCATCAAATTCTCTTTCAAATAGTTCCCTGGGAATTTCACCTTCATATTCATTGAATCGAATGTCCAAATACTTTAAGCTTGGCAACTGCAGTAGAATTTCAGGAAACTTGCCTGCAAAATGATTGTTGCTAAGATCAACCTCATATAGGAGCCTCAGATTCAAGAAACTCTGCGGAATCACACCACAGAATCTGTTAGAGTTTATGTGAAACAGGGTAATGTCATAGAGCAGCCCCAATTCACGTGGGAGGTTCCCGGCAATGTCTGCATGGTTAATATCTATACCAGAAACTGTAAGTTGAGAGGGATCATCCGGTGCAGGCCAGCAAAACACACCAGTGTAGTTACACACTTTATGTCCAATCCAGTTGCCTGTTATGTTTTTTGGATCAGAGATTATGGCTTCTTTCCAAGCTTGTAGAGCAATGTAAGCATTCTCCAATCTTGGGTTCTCAAAGTTGAGGGACGGGTTGATTGCAAGAGAGTCTCCATTGTATGACAAAACCCGTCGTCTTTGATAAATGAGAATATCGTCAATGCCAGCAGAGTGACTGCCAGTCGAAGCGGATAGCTGATAGGGAGTGGAGATGATGAAGAGAACAGAAAAGATGGTGAACAAGAAACAGGTGTTTGAGCCAGAAAAGTGATGCCAAAGGTAAATATTTATCGTCATTACAAACTACTCAGCATCAGTGTTCTGCTAGCAAATTTCTGTGAATGAATTCTTTTCTTGGATTTAGGAGGTTTATGAGTTTATTTGAAAAGAAATAATTTGCTGGAGAAACAAAAATTGAAGGGGGATTGATTGATCAAAATTTCTGTGAAATATGGCAGGCAGGCAACCTAGAGCATACTTTTGAAGCTTATAAGTACCTCAAACTTACTTGTAGCTTATTCTTTTCTTCTTAAAACTATATGCTGTTACTTATTTTGACATGTAATGTAAACTTATAAGTTTTTGAACTTACAAACATGCACTTAGATGAGCTTTTTCAGCATTTCTTGTTAAGAAGGGGCATAAATCAGTTGGATCTTGGAACCCTTTACCAGGACAAAGACATTTGAAATTTGAGACCAGGTCATCAATGTACTGTATATATTTCTGAATTAACAAATACTCCATATATTAATTGTATATTTCAATTCAGTCATAAAAAAATTATCACTTGGTAAAATTTGGGCTATGATTCTCACTTCTAGAATAAAGTGAATTTAAATTGTGAGGACCATAACCACCCTTAATTCCAATGCTCGGGCTTGGATATTACTTAAATCTTCCTCGCCAGTGAACTCAATAGGCTTAGCTGCTGCCTCACGTCTATGACAACATAGCTTACTAGATCAACCCTCAAGATTTTAGCAGGAATCTCGATCAACAAGTCCACGAGGTTTCTTGATTAGCTATAATTTGCTTGATTGTACATGTTACCTTAAACTTGAGGGATCTTAACTTTATAGTCGATATATCACATTTATAACAAATACTTTCTTTGACTTTCAGCGATCAATGATTCACTTTTTATAAAATATGATTGTGTTCGATATAATACATAGAGATTGTTTTTGCTTCATTTAATGCATTTCATTAATTCAAAGCACCATAACGACTGGTAGCAGAAGATAACTCGTAACGCTTAAGACATATTTGACATACAGTATTAGACAATAAATAAAAGTACAACAAACAAAATATGATCCTTTTTCTTTTTGTTTATTTAATACTAGACAATTATCTTGTCAAGTGTGTATTTGCTTAATCCTTGGGCTCACTTAAAAGTTAGTAGATAAGTGGAACTTATAATGCTACAAAGTTTAGATTTATAACTTTCCAAATTAAAAATAAATTTTGATTCATTAAATTATGAGTTACAATGTTTTACACGACTAATAAATAATTTTGTAATAAAGAAGCACGATTAATTAGGTTTCATATGGTGGAGAAACGAATTATTTCATATTAGTCATCTAATTTTCAATATTATTACAATTTGATCACTTAACTTATATTAGTTGCAATATAGTAATTACATCTCAACCATTGAATGACTTGAGCCACATAATTCACGATCTAATTTTATATTTTGGGTAATTGGCGCAAAACGTCCCTACCTATGATGGGTCTTGTGAAAAACGTCCATACGTATGATTTTTTGGTGCAGGACGTCCCTACCTTTGCATTTTCTTGTTCAAAACGTACTTTTCGTTTCTTTTTTACCATTTTACCCTTCCATTAGAATAAAACAAACACAAAAGAAAAGAAAAATAAAGAATAAATTGCAATTATGGGTTCAAACTTTTAAAAAGGTGCAAATTAGTCACAAATATGAAAAAACCATCACCCCTAAACTGCCACCTTTGAAGGTAAAATCCC